CAGACACGGCGAAGGCCAGTGGCTGGTGGTCTGTGAAAATGTTGATGTCTTTTACACCGTATAAGTAGTGACGCAACTTGCAAATGACCCAAACAATGGTTAGAAGCTCTCTTTCGTTCGTGGCGTAGTTAACTTCTGGACTTTTTAATGTCCTAGAGGTCATTGTGATGGGTCGCCCTTCTTGGGAAAGTACTGCTCCAACGACATATCCCGAAGCGTCGGTCGTTAGATCAAACGGCTTCTTAAAGTCAGGGTATCGAACCATGACATCCTTGGATGCCAATATGTTCGGCAGTTTCTAAAAAGCACTGCGTTGGTGATCAGAAAATTCGACTGAAATTTTTCGTGATCTATGTTTGCTGACTGACCCATTTTCACCCTTTAGGATGTCAAAATCTTTAATAAAGTATCTATAATAACTTGCGAGTCCCATGAACGATCTGACTTCAAAAACTGTCTTGGGCTCTGGGAAGTCCTGAATGGCCTTAACCTTGTCGGGGTCCGTTGTGGCACCTTTACTAGTGACAACAAATCCAAGGAAATGTACACTCTTCTTAAAAAAGGGAGATTTTTCCTCAGATACCCTCATATTTGCTTCATACAAGCCTTTCAACACCCAGTCGACATGTCTGTCATGAGATTTTTCATCTTTCGAGAAAACGATGACTTCATCGACATAGACGTAACATGACTTGCCGATCTGTTCTCGCAGTATGTCATCAATCGCCCTTTGGAAAATGCTGGCGGCGTTTTTTAGGCCGAAAGGAAGTTGACAGAATTCATACCCTCCGTTCGCGCTCTGCAAGCGTGATTTGGTGATGGCCAGACTTAAGATCCAGCGTCGAAAAGTACTTGGCTTTACCCAAATTTCCCAGAATCATAGAGATATTGGGCATGGGGTATCTGTCCGCTATGGTTCTTTCATTTAGTTTCCGAAACGCATATTTCGGTTACCCATTTCATCTGTGCCCTTTTTGTCAACCACCCAAATGGGATTGTTATAGGGAGAAACGGATTTCTGAATTATACCATTTTTCAAAAGATTTTGAATCTCTTTATTGACGAATTCAGCTGCGCCCATAGGATATGGGTACAGTTTAGCATAGATAGGTTGTTCGTCAACAGTTCTAATAGTGGCTACTACCGCGAAAGTCTTTTTCCTATTTTTAAAAATTGTTCTGTTATCAGGGGAGGTGCGTCTGCGCAATCTACGTTAGTGAAATTGACATCCACACATCTAAGATACAATATTGGTTCGGAATTATTGCCAAACTTGAGTTGGCTGGAGCTTAGGCAAAGCTCTGCCCTTACTTGTGTTAACAGGTCGAGGCCTATAGTCCCATCAAATGTTGAAAGTTCTAAGAGAAGGAAAAAAGAGTGGGTGGAAAATGGATTATCGACTGGACGGACTCCTTTCAGGCCATGATGCGGACGAATGTAATTTTTTGCCGCACCCGGGTCGAAGAGGAACTTCATCTGAGTCCCCTCTACTTCCCGAATGATGAAGAGCAGCAGGGACCTACCCCTTAAAAATTGAGGGCGTCAGAGTCCCCGTCCGAATCGTCAGCTATATGCGCCTTAGCATTTTTTGCTGCTGCTGCATACTCCTCAGATCCACATTCTTGGCTCTGAGTTGTGTGTCCGAGTTGACGTACGCTGGCGCCTGGGATGGCATCAGAACTTTGACATTGAAGGGTCAACGTCCATTGGTTGCTGATCATTGCTGCCGTTGCTTTGCCTACTACTACGCTGGTCGGTCTGTTTGGGTTGTTGGGGCTGTTGGGGCTTTTGTTGCCGTGTGTTATGTAGGTTTTTCGCAAGGGCAGGCTGTGCCTCGACTGCATCTGGGCCCTTTGTAGATGCTGGGATTGAGGCTTTTGGTTGGGTTTCCGAGCCCTATCCACAATGCTTCTGGCATAGTTGGTTGCAAAAGTGTATCTGTCGTGATTATCTTCGATTTCCTGTGCGAGTGCTAAAGCAGAGGTAAGATCGAGCGGATGTGCCGCAAATAGAACATCGGAGTGACTGCGCCTAAGGCCAGAGATAAATATGCGCAAGGCATCACCTCTAAGCTTCTCGCACATGCCTTTTGCTAGTGCTGCGTCATACGTCATGTTGACTTTGTTTATGACTAAAGTGAGTTTCTTCTTGTTTATGAGTAAAGTGAGTTTCTTCTCAACATCGTCAAAATATTGAGGCAAGGTGAGTTGCCCTTGTCTGAGGGTGCCCATTTCTTGTTCGATAACATGAACTGGCCTCTTATCACTGTAAGTGAAATCTAAACGGTTGATGATGGCATTAAAATTAAGTATTGTGGCAAACGAAGACAAACCCGCGTCGGCCGAACTCCTTATTTTGCTTCTGATAATTATGACTGCCTGGTAATGGCGAGAGCTTGCCGCCAAGAAACATAAGTTTCTTACGACCCTGTTAAATCTGCCAGACACTTGACCGCATCCAAAGGCTCGTCGCAGCGAATGCTGTCTACGATTTATATTTCTTCGAACACATCCATTGGGGGAGCTGGGACCTTCAGATCTGTTACTTTTTCTGTTAACTTAGCAATTGCCGGTTGAAGTTCTCCTTAAAAGCTGCATCTCTTCCATTGAATGCCCTTGCCTGTGCATCAAGGGCAGCTGAAACCGCTGACTCGACTAAAGCCCTAAGTTTCTGGGGATCCATATCTGTTTTGTTTTAATGCACTGGGTTTTGCTGAAAGTCTTCTGCGTATGGGTTTACCCTAATGTCGTCGCTATCTGAGACCACCGAGTCAAAATTTCTCGAGCTGGGGTCCCTATATTTTTCGAATACAGTTGCTATAGGAAATGACAACTAGGCACAGAATCAGATTTGCTGATAGAACATTCAATGGTCCATTGGATTTGCAGAACAAACTGACCGACAGACAAAATAGCACAATACAGTATAGTGAATTATTTAATTTTTGATTTCCTCACGCAGTACTTAAAACCTGTTATAAATGAATGGCTCACTTACATGGTTTCTTACGGGGTTATGGGGTGTTTCTAATTTTATATTACTGTCTCACTCGCTGAAGCTGGGAACAACAAAATTTTTGTTGCTGTCCAGATAAGCTTGCCTGCTATACTGGTGACACACCGCTGCCCGAAGAGCTCCAGCAGCTTCAGCTGACCTAGTTGATGTACGTCAGGTACACTGCACTGTCGAATTTGATCACAGGTTCACGTTACGTCGAAGGCTGTGAATACGGCACTGATTTTTTTTCGGTTGTATCGAATAAAAGTGCCTCAATGTTTGATGGCCGACTTCTTGTTAAGTTGATTTTCTTCTAACAAAATATTAGAATGTTTTTGATTGAAATCATCGGCTAAGCGACTTGGTAGCGAGCGCGGGAGCTGAGTCAGGCCCAGAGCTGAGTCAGCACCTGTGCTGGGGTCAAACCCGGTCGCATTACCTTGTGTTAACTTATATATATCAAGCATCTTTCATTTTATAGCTATCGCCACCACCCCAATATCACCACATAGCTATAAATCAAGTAAAAACTCCAATTAGTATTGCCCACCAATATAAGCCACAAATAAATGCAGTATAATTTGCTTAGCTGCCTCGAGTACTTTGCACAGACATTAGAGGCAGCTATCCTTAAAGGGCAGTTAACTTAATTTATGTTTTTCCTAAAAGTGAATCGATTTCATAGTAACCTCTATTTATTTTTAAGTTGCACTGAATTCTATTTAACAGTACTAAGGTAAATAAATCAATTTGATATTTGATATGATTTGAATTTTATAAACTTAATGTATTTTAATTAAATTTAATTCAACTTCAATACAGTTTATTGTATACATAAGAAAACCAAATGCAAAAAACAAAATTTGCAAAATTTGAGCATAGACGGCGCAGGTTACTTACATGATATTCATAGAAATTGGCAAAAAAAATACTGCCGATAGGAGGCGCTTAAGTGCATAAGGCTGTTAAGTTAGATGCCCTTAACGTAATTAATTTCATACAGCGAAAAGATAATTTCAGGCAGCTATCGTACCGATGCAGCTAAGTATCGAGGCAGCAAAGCAAATTATACTGTATAACACAATAAGATGTACTGTAGAAAATTTCATCAAGATCGGTTAAGAAACGCAATTATTAAAGAAAACCTGTTTTGACTTTCCTTGTATCAGTAGCAAGCGCAAAATTCTAGAATTTCTGTATACATGTACACACACACATTCATGCACTTCTGCTTTGAATTATATCAACAGCATTGCAATTGCGATTGTATTGTTTACTGTGCTGCTATTTTAATTCGTTTTTTACTCATAAATATTCAATTATTGGTGTGGCTGTTGGGTAGAGGCGGCGGCAAGAAGTGCGGTCTGCTGCAAATTTAAACCCTGCCAAGGGAACTTTTTTTTGTAAATTTATCTTTATTACTACTAAAGTGGACGAGCGCGTTGGTGTTGAAATAAGAGGGTTCAGGGAATCCCCTAGTCGGGAGCTTCCGACTAGAACCTCTTACTTGTTTTTAGTTTTGATTTTGATGTGCCGATGTACCCGCTATTGTAATTATTGTTGTTGTTGCCGCAACATGGTATTTTATAAAAACATAACTTTTGTCCATCATTGGAATTTTTGCCAGTTCACTTGTACATTTAATGTGTTTATGAAAGGAGTTCAGTTCTTTCAGAATGTTACTTCTGTTTTGTCCGTTAAGGCAAAAACGTCGTTTACATATTTCGTCAAAAGTCTTGGTTTTATTGTCAATGTTTTTAGTAATGTTGTCCAACAGCTCTTCCATTATTATGCCTTCGATTACTCCTTTTAACAGTATATATATTTTGTCTTCATATTAAAAGTACCGGATTTAAATAAACTAAACTAGTAGTGTGGGGTTTTCTCTGCAACTTTTTATTTTTGTCACCCTTGGGCTCGTTTTGTTTGTAGAACTGTTAGTTTTGGTGTGATCTCTAAAATTTTCTTTTAAGCTACTAGTATAGCTTACTATAGAGGCGTACCTGTTAATTTAACTCCATTTCTTGGGTAATTGTGATAGCTCGGAAAGGCGTTCTATCAAACCAGATACAAGCCATTGTATGCTTATTGTTAATTTCACAGCTTTTTTTAAAGGTATGGTTATGTTGATACATATTAGCGAAAAGACGTTTACGAAAATTTTACTTTAGAAACAACAATATTTTCCTTTTTTGTCGGCCTAAATGAAACAATAATGTAAAAAAACAAATATGTTACCGCAAAGAAGACTATGTTTTAAACTTTTTTTTTAAGTGCTTGTATTTTATCTAATTTATCCGGGTAATTGGCGCCACGCATGTTCTCTCTTCTGTATGTCTGACCATTTATTAGCAAATTAAAGTTGTTTTATACTGGATTGATAAGTAACATATTTTAAATTGTCTAATAAAATTAATTTATGAAAATAATATCGAATTTTATGTCATTTTGCTTGTATATTTATTTTGGTTTTTGTGCAGACTAATATCCCAAGTCTTACGATTAACAAAAAACTGCCTGAGCTTTGACTTTATTGGTAGTTCCACTGATGAGTCAGCTGATGATATGAACAATGTCCAGGTAGGTTACATTTTAAAAAACAAATCCTTTAAATAATTTTCGATGCTCCTTAGATACCAACAGCTTGGCGTCCTGCTTTTCTTGACACAAACACATTAAAATTATTTTTCGATTTATATCAAATTTTACCGAATGGTTTAGCCAGTTACTCACTTTCGTGCCTAGTACAAATGACATCTGTACGTCGATCTCTGTTTAGTAACTCAGAGCGAACGAAATTTCTGACCAACTTGGTTGAAGGAGTAAAAAATATACTCAGAAACTTGCATGTAAGTTCGTAACTGCTGCATTTTAATACCAATGTCTTAAAAATTTTTTTTAGGGTCTTAGCGATCCAGATAATTACCATGAATTTTGTCGTTTGTTAGCGCGTCTGAAATCCAATTATCAACTGGGGGAACTTATTGCTGTTCCTTGCTACCCCGAAGCCATAGAATTAATCGCGAAGTTTACGGTACAATCGTTACATGTGAGTATATTTTCGGTAAAAGGTTAAAAAAAAATGGACATTGTTCACGTCTGCAGATGTGGCTCTTTGCTCCAAATAGCGTGCACTACTTACTTACTCTATGGCAGCGTATGGTTGCTTCAGTACCGTACGTCAAATCGCCGGATCCACATTTACTGGGCACATATACACCTGAAGTGATAAAGGCATACATTGAGTCCCGTCTAGATGCTGTACCTTTAATTGTACGTGATAATATGGAGGATCCCTTAGACGATCTTTGTATGGTACAACAACAGCTTGAACAGTTATCAGTAATCGAGCGTTGCGAGTACAATAAGACTTGCAACCTTCTTGTACAACATTTTGATCAAAAGGCACGTGAGTACGAAAATCTCATACAGACCCTCAATGCGAACCCTATAGATATTACGGTCCATGAGTTGCAATTGACTTGGTTGGTTTATATAATTGGTTCGGCCATTGTGGGGAGACTTTCTGTGACCACCAGCGATGAACATGACAATATGGATGCAGAGCTTGTTATTCGTGTACTGCAACTTATGAGTTTAACCGACTCACGTCTTCCTCAAACTGGTTGTGAGAAGCTGGAACTGGCCATTTTGAGCTTTTTAGATCAGGTTCGTAAAATGCATAGCAGTGACCAGGCACAAAAAGCAACTGTTTACAAGCGGCTTAATGAAGTTTTTGGACTAAATGATGAGCAAATGTTGCTAAGTTTTATAAACCGTAAAATGTATGTATTTTCTTTCCTAAATTTCAAATAAATAACGTTTTCTTTTTTTTTTAGCATAACTAACCTAAAGTTTTGGGGTCGTTCTGAGCAAATAATTACAAAAACTTTAGTGTTATTATCCGATCTGTCAGTGCACTTTAATTCAGTGCGCAAATTAGCTCGCTTAGAGGAAGTTCAATTCATGTTGACACATCACACAAGCGAACATTTTCCTTTTCTTGGTACGAGCTCATCTTTGAACGAAATGCGTTGTCGGACAATGTTTTACACAGCCTTAAGTCGTTTATTAATGTTTGATTTGGGCGAGGATGAAGAACGTTTCTACAATTTTCTTACACCACTTACAAGTAAATCGATCCCTTAAAAAATGTTTAAGAATGTATTCTTTCATGTATTTCTTTAGATCAGTTTGAAACACTTGGAAATGTGCTAATGGATACAAAAAGTTTTCCAAATGAAGAGGTCAAGAAAGCGATTATTGGGTTAGCCCGCGACTTGCGTGGTCTAGCATTGCCGCTTAATGCTCGTATTCAATACACTATGCTTTTTGAATGGCTGTGCGTGTAACAACCAGCGATATTTAATATATTTTTTATATATTTTTTTCTGAGTTGACTAGCTTTTAATATTTTATTTTTTGTAGTTACTACACTGATTACTTACCCATATTGCTTCGTGCGGTGGAATTGTGGGCGCATGAACCTGCTATTACTACTCCTGTCTTAAAGCTATTTGCTGAATTAGTACATTGCCGCACACAGCGTTTAGCCGGAAACGTATCTAGTCCTATGGGTATTTTGTTGTTTCGCGAGGCATCAAAACTTATTTGCATATATGGCAATCGTATTCTGCATCTGGAGGTGTCAACTGATCAACTTTACCCAATGAAACTAAAGGGAATATCAATCTGCTTCTTGATTCTAAAAAATGCGCTTGGAGGGAACTATGTCAACTGTGGTGTGTTTAAATTATATGGTGATGATACATTACATAATGTTCTTGATATTGTCGCCAAGCTTATTCTTTCAATACGACAAAGTGATTTATTGGTAATTTAAATTTCATAAGCTATACAAAAATATAAATAACAAACTTGGAAATGTACAAAATAAATAGGAATACCCGAAATTGGCCTCGGCTTATTACAATTTATTAAACTGTCTATCTCAGGATCATGTGACATATCTTGCCACTTTAGAACCACGCGCATTTGTATATGTATTGGAAAGTCTGACAAAGGGCCTTGCCGCACTAGGTATATATAATTTCCTCAACATATATGTACAGTGTAAAACTTCTCTTTATTACAGATTCGGCAATTTATATCAGCTGTTGCACTATTTTAGATAGCATTGTATCGTACATCTTTAAGCAGCTTCAATTAAAAAGTATATCTGAACAAAACTATGTCGTTACACACTTCTTATTTCTTCTTTTTCGTTACAGTTTCAACATTCCCAAACAAGAAGCTACGAAGTTTGACACGGGAAAATTCACAATTTCTTAAGGTCTGTTTATTTTTCTGTGCCTACTACTATTTTTTATTTGTCTTTCTGAATAATCCCTGTATAAATGAAAATCAACTATCAGCAAAATACTAGTAAGTGGGAAATCTTTATTAATACAGCAAAATATTCTATATAAATATATATAGATTAAGAAAATAATGGATCAATGTCAACCACCAAGTCATTGTAACACAACTATCACGAGGTCTAATTTCCAACATATAAAAACACATTCGGTCAAAAGTTAAGATTACGCAAAAACTATTTTTTTGTTTTACAAGCTATGTTATTATTAGAAATTAACTGAGCTTTAAAATCTGATAATATTGACGTATTATACCAAATATGTAGCTCCCATAGAATGGCTCTCTCTTATTTCAAAACATGCCGCATGTATATCATCCAATAGAAAAAGTATAAATGCACTTGTTGAAGACGCTCGTAATTTTAACATTTTGTACTTGATTTTACATATACCAACTACAAATTTTTTAAATTACTACACACCTTAAGAATGTAAAACTGACATTTAATTATAAGCATATACCCTATTTTGTCCTAACTTTCAAATAATAATAATGCAGAGAGAGTGTCATAAAGCGGCTCTGTGGGGCTGGCAAACTCTTCTTCAGATGGTCTCTCCTATCACAAGTCTAAATCATGAATCCATGAACTAGTGAAGGATTAATAAGCGTCTTAGCTTGGCTAAGTTCTTTGTTAGAGTGTCGGGTCTTTTATGATTTTATCTGAAAGCTCACGGGATCCCACAGAAAGCCTTTGGGCAAAAAAAAGTGATCCTTACCCTGGCGAGCTCGTCCGCTAGATTAACCTGGATTGACCAAGATCCCAGCAACATGTTACTGTCTTGTGTGTCAGAAGCTGTTACAGACAGTTTCAGCAATCTGCTAATTTCATGGTTCATCGACCTTTTCCAACATTTAAACTGATAAAAACCTCAATGGCACGAATCTCAGATTAAAAGATGATAGCTCCAAAATGCTCTGATGAGTAAAGGAGACGAGAACTCTTCCCAGAGGCAGCCTTTGACCTGTCCTTAAGAGAAAATAGGAGAGATCGTTAGGATTTGGGTTAATCTAAAGGACGATTAATAGGACAGTTAATAGCAAAATTGACTCTTCAAGAAGAATGGAATGCATCTCCAAGTGAAGATCACTCTAAGTAAGTGGATTAAGTGATAAATATAAAAATCTCGATACAGTGTTGCATGACGAACGGGAAGATCTGATAGCCCCAAGGGGCTTTGAAGGGTGCGAATCTTGTTAGGGTTGGGGATTACATCCGCATCTGTCCGTCTTGTGTGTGTGAGCCATCGGTTTTTTTCTATCACTCTCAGTTGAAATGCTTGTTTGTCTGATCTAATAATTAAATACCCTTGTAGTCTCTGAGTTTTAAGACTATGAAACTTTGTATAGGTCCATATTTCTGTTTCAGGCAGTATATATGTTGGCAACGGCCGAATCGGACTATATTATATAGCTGCTATAAGAACGATCGGTCGCAAATTAATTACTTGTACGAACCTTTTTTGTGCTTCAAGATATCTTGACCTAACTCGACATTTAAAGTTATTATTCTGTTTTCCAAGATATTTTCCTCAAACTCATCATTTACGAGCTTTACTATTCGCACATATCTGCAAATGTATACAAGCGCAAAGCAAACAATATGAAGAGGCTTCAAGCTATGGAATAAGTGAATGCAGAACATATCTGTGCCTGATGTTCTTTCAAAATATATGCTAGTTATGGATTCCTGTAGGCTGTAGCCTAGAGACATGAGTGTATGCATGTGCAGAGTGTGTCTCGCTCTCACTTTTTACTATGTGCACTCTTGTGCATCTCGTTCTACCTTCATAGCTTTGCAAACAGCCCCGAGATCTACAAATATACATATGTATGTATTGTGTGGATGTGCGCACAAGTCGAAAATTAGTTTGTCGCGAGCCAAAAATATTTTGATAAATAGGTTGACGCTGCCTCCTTCTTTTGGTAGACTCTGTTGTGCCTGCGGCAGCAAAAATCACATATTTATTAACATGCTCTATTATCATTCAGACGGGCATACATCCGTTCCTTTGCCGGGTTTATTTATTGCCCCGTTTAATGATCTTAAAAAAATTGTGGGATGGATAAGAGTCAAGTTAAAGATGGGGTCTGGTGGTTTTGTATATAAGGAAAACTTTAAATGGCCGATTTTAGTACAAGTGAAGTCCTACTAAAGCGGCACCAGGTATTACCGCCATAATCGGTAAAAGTTAATTCCGCTGACCACATCATATGATTTGAATTGATTTGAACAAAACTAGACTGAACTCAACGGTTTGATATAGTCACAAGAGCTAACCGCGTGCAGTCCTCATTCCAGATCTCTGGAAGATAAACGCTGTGTGCGCCATTACGCTCAACCGACGTGGATTAGGCTCCAGAGTCTGAGAACATAATCTCAAATACTTGTCCGCGCACAAGATTTAAAGCTGAATCGAGTGTGTCGTCTAACCATGCACGTAAATGGGTGGTGGCTTTTCTGGGACTGCCTTAATGGCTATAGAGTGTTTGGTAGGGCAGATACGGTGCTCGCTAATCGTACATGTTGAAGGCTGGTAGAATGCTTTGCCAGCGTCTAGTTTATCTTTTAATAATGAAAAAGTTGCATTCATATTGGAATCCCACAAGTATTTTAAAGGGCACGACAGGAAAGCAGAATTGGCAAAATGACGAGCGAGCAACTCCTCGACCACGCATCCATCTGCTGTTCCATTTTGGATAATAATAAAATCGTTTTTATACCCTGAACCCATTGAAAATGGGCAAAAAGGGTATTATGTATTTCTGCAAATGTATGTAACAGGCAGAAGGAAGCATCTCCGACCCCATAAAGTATATATATTCTTGATCAGCATCAACAGCCGAGTCGATCTAGCCATGTCCGTCTGTCTGTCCGTCTATCCGTCTGTCCGTATGTATGAACGCAAGGATATCAGAACCTATAATAGCTAGAGACTTGAAATTTTAGCTGTAGGTCCCCCTAGTCCATGCGCAGATCGAGTTTGTTTTCGATAATCGATAACTTGCTCCGTTTCCAAGTAATCGATAAAAATCGATATCGAAATCCTATTTTTTTTGAAAATTTCATCAAGATCGGTTAAGAAAGACGAAAGAAAATGTGTTTTAGCTTGCAAACACGTGCAGCAGCAAGCTCAAATTTCAAGAATTTCTGTATACATGTTCACACACACATTTATGCGCGTCTTCTTTGAATTCTATCTGCATTTGGTGTATATAAGAATAATAGCCTCTGCCCACTGAATACATTTCTTACACATTTCTGTAAATAACACATTTTTGCAAAATGTGTAAAATGCGGCCTGTACGTTTCCCCATAAGAAAACACATTTCACACATTTTTTAAAAATGTGAAATTTTTAAAAAATGTGTAAATTCGCCCCGAACATTTCGTGTATTTTGCGATGATTAATTGAGATTTCTATCGATGTTGTGAAAAATGTGAATGTGTTCATTACCATAAACTGCTGATATTGCAACGAAGGCAAGCGGTAACTCTAAATTATAATTTTAAATTTTAATTGTCCCACAGATTTTAACATTTAATGTTGGCCAAATCCCGCAAAGAGTCTATTAAATGGAGCCCCTACTTCGGGGCCGTATTATTTGACTTTTAGAAGAAAATCTGTGCGGCGCTTATGTAAATTAAAGCTACTCGATCAGCTGTTTTTTTTAAATAGGCGGTACTTTTGCCACTCACATGTTACCGACAACCGGTGGGACACCAATATGTGAAATTTGAAAATGTGACATTTCTTAAGCCAGTGGGCAGAGGCTATAAGAGAGTTCAGGGTATCCCCTAGTCAGGAGCTCCCGACTAGAACCTCTTATTATTATAGCATAGGTTTCGTATAGCATAGGTCAACAAGATTGTTTTATCATTGGTTTCAACTGTAATGTTTTATCCCGTATACCGTGTCAATAGCATAAGTTGCAGAAAAGGTCTTTCGGCAACACAAAATATATAGATCATATGTACAGATGTTATTCAACATAGGTGCTTAAACACTCCTTTAAGGGATTTCAGCTAATATATAATACTTTTTAAGGTGGACATAGTATTATCACTAACCAAACAACATATAGATGAGACATCTAGTACATTTAATGTGGACATTCAACAAAATGAGATCCTCAGCGGCCACTTCAACATTTTAAGCAGAGAAATAAACTTGAGGATTGTTAACACGTATGAGGGAAGCGGGTTTCTCCTTATATATTTGGGTATGAGCTTCGTGGAAGAAGTATCGGCATGGTAGCTTGCAGCACACGGAAAATTTTTGAACGCGGTTGTTTCCAAGTTAGTTCTGCACTTTTAATGATGTCCAGAAACCGTGGCGGAACACAATCATGGTAATCAAAATCAGTGGCCGTTGGGAGTGCGTGAGGTCGGCGGTGGCTATCACTTGCGAGCTAGACGGCTAGAAGGTCCCTTATACCAGCCGACAGCAGCAACTAAATTTTCGGTGATATAAGAAATTAGCAAATTCACTTACCCATTTACCCATTATTAAGCAGGAGGGAAATATTTAGAGCCCAGAACCACATTCCCAAAATGTATCTAGAGACTGACTGCGACTGTCTGAGACTTAAATGTGGTGTCGATGCAGGTTTTTGCGGATTAATATAACAGCTCTACCTACTACTACTGTACCAGACGATCCTCGCCAAAAATATTGAAGATAAAGCGATTGTGTTCGCTTAACAGCATACCATGAATAGCATTGCTGCGTAGATAGCGCTCCAATTCCGAAAAATGTGCCGATGTAAAAGTTCAAGCTGTCCAGACGTTCTGGTTGTCAACGCGCTTGGCACACTTAATATGCTCCGGACAATAGGGTTTTTTTTGTCATCAGTCCTGACATTATTCGTAGCTGGCTAAAGATCTATGAAAAACATGTTAGGCCTTTGTTCTTTGTTGGAGGATTATATATTAACTAGAGTGTGTCCAAGAGCAACAACCACAGTGCAAAATTTGACCTCTTTCATTGGAGTTCGCTTAGCCTCCCCTCTTGCCAACAGAGT